TATATATATATATATATATATATATATGTATATAATGCGCGAATTTGCCACTGCTGTAACATGAATCTACAAGCGTTAACTCTATGTCATTTTGTGCACACATTTGAGTAGGGACAGAGGCCCACTACAATGAAAAGCTGGAGCTGTTGCAACAGGAGCTGGTCAACATGAGGAAAATGGAAGTTCTCAAACAAGAGGATCAGTGGAACAGTCACATCAACGCTCTGACCAGAGACCACGATCAAATATTTGGTGACATGCTCACTCTCCTCAATCAAACCATGGAACGAGATTTGTATCACAATGATTCAATGAAGGTAAGCGCGAAATGAAGAATGCCATCTTCTGAAAGAAGGCTAAAAATACTAAGGCATACAAAATACGAAATGTTCGCATGATGTGCTTCAGTTCAACGGCAAAAACGGCGTTACGATCATAATACCGGTATTATTAAGATTCTTGCAGAATTTTTTCATTTAGATATTTTTTTTTAGATCCTGTGAAAGTGTGAAGCCTAAAATAGTGGTCATTAACCGTTTAAGTAATTATTTAAATGTATTCGCCTTTAACGTTCAACATTTGTTCACAAATTATTTTTTTAAAAAAAGGAAATATTTCCTCATAAATAATTAACCACCGAGCCTTTATTCTTCATGCTGTCTCCTAGAAACAAATAGAAGCCCTAAAGATGAAACAAAAAGAAAAGGAGAAGAACCTGACTTGCCTTCTACCAGAAAACAAGCGTCTCAGTAAGCTCCTCCTTGACGTACAGGACAAAGCTGCTGAAATTGAGAGAAAGATGAAGAACCCGATCCGGAAAGAGGTTGCCTTTTTTAATACTGTGCTTATTGTGTGTGGATATTTCATATTGTGTGGGTTTTATATGTTACAACCAGCGGCTTGATGTTGAGCTTTCAACAGGACACTAAAGAAAAGAGAAAAGAAAAGGAGCTCAGTGATCAGAAACAAAAATTAGAGCAACTAAAGCAGAAATTCAGCGAGGTAAAAATAATCATAAATAATGTATTGAATTTAGCACACTTCTGATAATCTGCTCACACATGAATGTGACTCTAGCTTCAGCGGGAACGAGACGAGCTGCGCATGACCCTCACTCAGGACGTTGAGGGTGTTCAGAGGGAAGAGGATGAGAAGAATGCAAAGATGGAAGCGAAAGTGAGGGACATGATGGACAGCTTGGCAGTGACGGAGGCCAAGCTCTCCGCTGTGCTCTTGGTCTCTAATGTGGACCAAACTGCACTCAAAAGCAGCACAGACAGTGCCGAGGTACCACTTTTTCCCTTAAGGGCCTATGCAGAGTGGTGTTAAGAGTATCAGAGCGAATTTCCAGGAGCTATCTATCCCTTCACAAAACGAGCTATGTTAGATATGTGTCATTTTCTATCCAATTTCCAGTTTGTGTTGATCTACCACATGAAATTCCAATAAACTACATTCACGTTTGCGGATGTGACGTGACAAATTGTGGAAAAAGGGCTCTAAATACTTTGGCAAGCCACTGTAGATGGAGGGATAGATGGTGGAATTTAAATCTGACTGAATATTCAATATTTTAATGTTTTTTTTTTTCCTCTTACAGGATATGATAGACTCCAGCAATCAATCCATGAAGGATTTACAATACAACATCTCTCGGGCTTCCAAGGTTCGTTGATCTTTTGCCTGTTTGCTCAAAGTGATGTATGTAACAAAATGAGTCATGGGTGTTTTCTGTGTCTCATGTATGTTGAAACATCGGTTCTTCTGGCAGGCCCGTCAGGATTTATTCCTGAGGGATGAGGCAAAGCAAAGAGCTGTTGGTGTCTCTGTGGAGGAACCTTGTGTGACATATTCCACATTTAGGAATAAATACTGGGTGTATGATGAACTTTAGATCAAATGACTGAATCTGTGATAGGTGATCCCACTTAGTCTGGTTTTGCTTGACTTGATGAATCGAACTAAATTGAATACTATTAAACTATCAGGTGTACCCTTTGTGCACTTGGAAGAGAAAAGGCAGGAGGGGGCATGGAATTGTGCAAAATGTCTCTGTGATATGAAATAATAAGGATTCAGGGCAATGGTCTACAAATTGGTGTTTCTCAGCTTTTATTCAAGCAGGTGCATATTTTACATTAATTTACATTATTACAAATCTCACAACACACTCCCAACCAAAAATGTGACAAAAATTATATATGTAGTAAATTATAGAATTGTACTTTCAGATAGAAGTGAACTGACTTATGAGTTTTTTTTTTTTTCTTTTGCGATACAAGTGATCGCCGGGCTTGGAAGTTTTTTACATTTATTTTATTTTTTGCTTTGATTTATAAGGACAAACTTGATATACTATCGGTTATTGTTGGCAGTGACTCAGTCTACTTCTCAATAAGTAGCAAGTTCGGCAGATAGTATTCGTAAACAATTCTTGAAAAAAACGGTTCAATCTGTTGATTGCCACTCCCAGTTGAAGTTTACTGTCAAACCAAACATAAAACAAAGAGAATTACAATTGGTGTTTTTAAAACAATTGGTGCCTTAGGAATTCCCCGGCCAGCTTAATGTTAACACATAATGACAGACTCGATAGACTTTCTAATGGGTTACATCTATGTAGCGCTGTTATAACCCTCGAAACAACGGGCATTTGAACACAAAAAGTGGAGCAACACATGTAGATCATCGTCTGTGAAGAATTAATATTCGCGGCATGCTGAGGAGCTGTAGACTGTCTTCACGTACAATCTGTCTGTTTGTACTGCCTCTAGGCTTTACACGGACCGCTGAAAAATGATGCAGTATGACAAAACCTATTTAATTGTGTCATTACTTTATGTTTTTCTAAGGTACAATATGATAGAGTACTATTTTGTCATTAATTTTTTTTTTTAGGCGGGGGGTCGGTAACGGATTAATGGTGTTTCAATTCATTTCAATGGGGAAAAGAGGATTTGAGAGGTTTTGTGTTGAGCGTGGTCACGGAATGAACTAAACTAATATCTTAAGGCACCGCTGTACTGAAATAACAAACAGCATATTTTCATTTCCTTACAAAATGACACTGTGGAGTGTGAGCCTATTCAGTGAAATGCAAAGCTATTATTCTTTTGTGTGGCGAGCCACTGCTTAATTGTACCGTCTAAGATTAACCCCTGATTGATTCATTCATTGTTGAAGAAGTGTGCCTTTTTATTTTTTCTGAATAAAGTACAAAGAAGAATGATAATGATATGTTTGTCCGCTCACCAGCATCCAGCTTTCTAAATCTCCGGAGACTTGTTGGCTTTTTGATAAAGCCTCATGTCCCCTCTGTAGATGACATCATGTTTTAGTAAAATCATGTTTCCCGACTATTAGAGGACTTTTCAACAGTTCCGTCTTGGTTTAATCTCCATGGAAGTGCTACGTGTTGGATGATGGCAGTCACAAGTTCTTTGAAGATACATCTATTAATAACATGTCATAAATACAGTGATGGTTCGGTTGACATCGCTGGGACTTAAAACCTTGGAATGAACCCAAGTATTCCAATCTCAACATCTAGTTGTCAGTCGAGCACCGGGCGGGCTGGATCCAGTTTCTCATTCTATACACCTGCATTGAAACGAGCTCTGGCGCATCGAGTGATTGCTGTTCCTTTTAGTATTAATAATACAGGAGAAAGTTATTGTCCCAGTGAAACACAGTCTCATGCTATGACAGGAAGCAGAGTGAGGTGTCCTCTCAGGTTTCGGAGCCCTGCAGACGTTCGGACGCGGGGGAGCCGGCTGCTCTTACCTTTGCACAGGGCTCAATTGTAAGATTGTTAACTGAGTGCAAGCATCGACAACCTGCTTAGTCCTGCTGGCCCGTGCCACTCAGGTCAACACTACACCCCCAACAAAGCCAGACTCCCACGGTGAGCCCCCCACTGAGAGACAACACAATGGCACATTAGTCAGTCGGCGACCGCAAACAGATAGACAGAAATTGCCGTCCTGATTCACTTCCACCAGATTTTCACTCCTTCGGTGACCTCACAACCTTTTCTGTTCGGAACCGGGGGAGGTCGAGAATTTGTTGTCCATCAAGTTACGATGGCAGAGATATCGATGCCATAGATGAAAGTAAACACTGGTATCAAGTGGGAGGGTTGAAGGAGAGTGAAAGCTAAAGGACAGAGAGAATGGTGATAGCACCACACTGAAGATGATGCAACTCACTTGATACCTCAACAACTGAACGGGTCGAGGGTGAGTTCTTTCATTTCTATTTCATAATCGTTTTAACACACATTTCCGTTTGCTCTCACATGAACGTGAGATCTAAATCGGGCAAACGGTGTTTGACCGGTGTTTGTTTCAATGAATTTGAGTGATAATTCAACATGATTTCCACATCATAAACTGTATTGTATCCATTCGGTACATAATAGCTATCACAGTACACCAAAGTATTAGACAGAACCTGCAAAGGTTGAACAGAGACAACTGGACTCCAAAAGGCTTCTTCAATTCTATATTTTAGATGTGCAGTGTGAAGCCTTCTGGATAAAAGGTGAAAGCACCTTCAACAAACAAATAAAAGTGTAGTTGTCTCTATTCACGCTTCCTATCACCTGGATGGCTGAGAATCCACACAGGAAAATGTGAATTTCCGTATCTTGATCGACAGTGTTGACGCAATTCCTGCGTGGGTTTGAAATGTTTTTGAAAACCCCGTTTAAGTGAATTTAGCAATTTGTTTCGAAATACATTATGCAGTACATTTGAAGAACAAGAACAACACAGAACAAGAATAGCCAGGCTGCTGGCCAAACAACCAAATAAGGTGTTAATTCACTTATTCGTTGTTATATTGTATATTTACGATCTATTATACTGTATATTCACTTATTATTAATGACTATTCATTATTATTTATTCTAACAATTCATTGAATTAATGATCTGATGTTACCCACCGCCTATTTCACCTGGCAACAGTGAATTTTTTTTTCCTCACTTAAAGCACTGACATTAATTATTTAACCATTTAAGAATAAACAGTACTTAAGAGTAGCTTGGCTCACATATAGTCAAGCTTCGCCATCCATACAGTAAATTTCATCTGGACTTTGCGCCAATGTCCAGAATACAATCTTCCAATTGGTGTCAGTGAGTCACAACAGCAAGCAACATATTTTGTACGAGCTTGCCGAGAGAAGCTTACTGTCGATCATGTGATGCCAGCATATGACACACGTTTTGTGACCAAATAAATCCTGGTTTTGAAAACATAACATTATAACAATAAGAAGTATAGTCCGATTGCTGATACAAGCTTTATTAGTCATGCTTTGCAAGTCTAAGGTGATGTGGAGACCAGTCATTAAGTTTTAATCTCCTTCTCTTTTACATCTCAGGTTAATCCTTCCAGTGAAAGTGAACAGACTTCCATTGTTTTCCAAAATCAATCGGAATTCATCCTGAGGAGCAATATATTTTTTTCACAGGAATGAATTAAAGACTGCAGACAAAAGGCCGGGCATGGCTACTCTTCGATTTACAAGCGTCCTAGTTTGTGCTATTTTACTCGGACAAGGATCCTCTGAGAAAACAGGTTAGTGCAATGTCAATATAACTGAAATGTGTGTTTTATTCCGACGTTTATCTAATTAACACGCATTTCTCTTGCTGCCCTGAATGGCAATCATTCAGCAAGCGATAGAGAACAGCGAAGAGATGCCATTTTTAAGGAGCTCCTATCCAAACTGAATAAAGAAGGTACTCGGAACCCGCAAAAGGGCTCTCGGGAAACAAACAAGGATGTAGTTATGCTCCCTTGGGTGAATAGCGTTCTGGGGGGCCTTCAAACATTGAGTGGATTATTTCCTGGTACGAACCTGGCTTCACTAAACCAGCCGATTGATCGTCGTCGTCTCTCGGGCTTCCTGTACAACATCTCTCAGTACCTCCAAGAAATGAGTTCAGGGCTGGAGGAGGCACCCTTTGATTTGGATGACGAACATCTGTGGGAGAAAGTGCTCTATTTTTTTCTGCAATCCGAAGGCAGCGCTGCACAGAGCCAGTGGAACGGCCGAGTGCCGCCTCGACCCAGCATCCAAGTGAAAGACTGGTTTCTGTCCCTGAGAGGTAGCCCCCATTGGGACTGGCTTCTCGGGCTCCTGCAGAGCCTCACGACCCTCCTGCAGCGTCAGCCTCACAAGCCCATTCTGACTTTGTTATCGCAGAACTGGAGGACGGTGAGCGCTGTGCTGGAGGCCGCTTTCCAGGCGCTGATAAGCGGGACTTACGGACAAGCCAGCGCTGGCCTGCAGGGTTTCATTTGCGCACTGAAAGGTCACACTGACTGCCCTTTCGGCGTCGGCTGGCTGCAGTACGTGCTCCGCTTCTTGGAAACACACAGCTGGACTCCCGTGGTCAGTTTGCACCCGGCGGGGGCTGATGCTGAACACAACAGGAGAGGCTCGGGTGGACGTATTAAGCCATTCAGCTTGCCCCCTGAAGTCCTGAAGCAGGATGCATCACTAAAAAATCATTTTCAGGATGACGTAAGCGCAACGCAGGATGATCCAGATTCCATGCGAAATGAATTCTTGCAAGCGCTGACACGCTCAAGTGGAGGCAATTTGGCCCAGGAAAATTTAGCACTTGTGCAAAGTTTGGATAGGCTCAGGATGGGGCTTCTGCACAGAGTGGGCAGTTCTGTTTATGGTAACTTGAGGAAGAAAGTGTCACAGCTTACCATGGCAATGCTCGATGATGTCAACAATGTGGCGGACGCACCCCAGTCCAGTAGAAGGAGACAATGCTCAGTTGGTGAGTGTGTTGGGCGGTTCGGATTCGAGTTAAATGGATGTGGTTGAGGATGTTAACACACTATTATATTTTTTTCATTGAGAAATACAGTGCTCAACGAAAACGAGCGCACCCCATATAAATCGATTAGAAATCCTTCACTTTCCTGGCACACTACTCTACAAAACACTCGCAAAATTGCTTTACTGCAAATAAACATTTGTCAATGTCATTGGAAACAAGTCTAGAATTTAGCTGAAAAAAGTCAAACACTGGTGAGTCTGTTTGTTATCACAAATGCTCTTGTATTCACTGAGAAATGGATAAAGATGATTATTTTTTTATGTTCGCATTTATGTTGAGCACTGTGTGCAGTCCCATAATAACATCGAAATGAATTGCTGTTGATGCCTAGTCTCCTTCAGTCGCACGGGGAGACCATGTCAATTTTATGTAATGGTTGCGTTCTCAACTCAATTTTATTTTTAGAGCACTTTAAAAGCAACCACAGCTGCAATACAAAATAAAACTTGAACATAAAACATGAACGCTTGAGCATAACAATTTAAAAACAATAAAACAAATAAATCACTTAAAGGCTAAAGTCTCATGCCGATTTGAATGCCAAGGTATAAAAATTAGTTTTAAGGCCAGTTTAAAAAATGGACAGTGGAAGGGGGTTGTCTAATGTGCCTTGGGAGGTCTTTTCAAAGTTTGGGGCCAGCCACACTAAAACCCCTTTTCCCTTCCACCCAGACTTTGGTACCTCGTACAATTAAAAAGATCTTTAACTTACTTTTTAATAATGTTCCTACTTTCTGTTTTTATAAAGAACAATATTTTAGAGTGATAGTTAATATTAATTTTTTTGTTTGGCTTTTTCTTGGGGTGGGGGCTTGGAACAGATTAATGGCATTTCCATTTACTTCAATGCGGAAGGTTGATCTGAGATATGAATGTTTTGTGTTACAAAAGTTGTCACAAGATAAATTAGCATATCTGGGGACCAAAGAAGAATGTATGATTACTCTTTAGTTACCTTTAATATTGCTTAAATATTTTTAAAAGCTACATGTATTAGACAACAAATGCGGATGTCTCTCACTGCTTTAGGTCAACCTGCTCATTTGAGTATCTTTTGTGGATTAAGATTTTATCTTTGCCCTTTCATTGTTATCAGTAATATTATATCAAGGGATTTGCGGGATTTGCCGGCGGAACTGTTATGTCGCATCGGATATGGTCGTTTGTGTGTGCGTGTGTGTTGGAGGTGTCAAGTTGCTTTTTCCTACTCGCATTCATGATATTTGTTTTCATGTCTCTCCTAAGGCGACCTGAGGAAGTTAATCTTATGGTAAGATCTTTGAAACAGTATACTGTACTTCCCATTGCCGGCGAATTGTCTGCAAATCTAAGTGAGATAACGTGATGCGTCTCTTGTGTTTGCGCAAATGTAGGGGAATAAGACATAATGTGACATGGAACACGCAAGCTTTGGGCGTTAGCACCCAGGGTATCCCAAGCTCTCTGTCATTCCTGTCCTGCCCCCCCAGTGATGAAAATAGCTTCGGACAAACACCTCCCCACTCACCTCTGAAATCCTCACCTTCCCATCAAATCAATCCAAAAGGCCATCATGATCAGCGCAATCAGCATCAACCAAGAAGTGAGAGTGACCTCCAAAAAGAGATGGAGGACTCAACCACTGCAGAAATTCTGGAGGCGGCGTGCAATGAATCCATTCCAGGACTGAGTGGTGTCTCCAACTTCACAGTGTTCCTCTACTGTAAACTTTTGGAATGGGAAAACGGGTCAGTGAGTCCCACGGATGGTGAAATGGGTCTGGACCTGCATGTCACATGCTCTGATGCTGCTTGGTACCTGGCTGCGGCTGAGGAGGATTTCCTGTGGGTTCATTTGTGCAGTGAGTTCTTTGCATATGAATTCAACAACACGGTCTGTGCCAATTCCACTTTCTGGCTCCACAAAGCACCTCAGGTGAGGCCAACTTGATTTGATGTTTCAAATCAAAATATACACCCACTGGCCACAACATGTACTGTATAAATGGCACTGTGAGTGGTTATTATTTTGTCCGTCACATAGTTTATGAGTTGAGTGTGCTGTGAGAAATTATCGTTGTCCAACTGTCTACAAAGTTTCTATTCCAGCGACATATAGTGACAGGCAGAGCAATTAAATGCTCTCCTATTCAATGGCAGAAGGAACATAATGAACCCTTAACCATGTTAAAAAAAAAAAAAAAAAAAAGGCTTGGCATCCTTGATCAATGGTTGAGTCAATGTCACGTGGATTTTGGACGCCATGTGTTGAACCAGCGTCTGCACTATGGCTATATTTACAGTTTAGGCATGTGGTAGCTTCAGTCAGTTTTTGGTCTTTTGTGAGTGAATTTGGGGGGATTTTTGGCATAAGAGTTTGTTGTCTGGTATTTTGGTGCACTTCCAGTTCACTTCTGTTCAGTTAGATGGCAAAAAATGATTTACTCAGAAATTTTCACTTTCGCTGCAGAGCTCGGTCCCCATCCCCCGTGATTTGAAGAGGAACACTGTTTAGCATTCTCTTTTGCTAAAATCGCACTTTCAACACAGCGGGTCTGCCATGTTTTTGTCATGTGTCTCTGTGGGGCATTTGTGTACAAAGTACACACACGCAGAGTACGTGGGTGTAGTGATGCTCAATTTGCATTGGGGAGCCTCTTTGCTTTATGTTAACATGCAGTATTTATTCCTTAATCGCAGGCTACCAGGACACACAACTATAATGCATTTAACCAGACAAGTATAAAGCAGCTATGCGTGCACCTATCAAGCGGTACAACAGGAAGTCCAGCGCCTGTGGAAGGCTGTCTACCTCAGTCGGGCAGCAGGTTTGTGAGTGCCCAGGCTTTCCGGCGTTGCTTCCTACCCAACAGTTCAGCCCTTATCTCATCGTTGTGTGGGAGAGAACACCCAGATTCCCACCGCTCCTTCCCAGAGGGCAGCTGGGCCGCGATGTACTGCTTTCGACAACACAACCTCTCCCGTGTCGATGCCACAGAGGAGGCTTGTGAGTACAACGAGTGGGCTGTGCCGACATTCTTCAATGTGACCATGCTGGAAGCGTGTTGGCAGACACGTGGACTGAGAGAGCACATGTGCTTGAATGCATCGCTCTACCAACAGCTGCTGAAATCAATGCCCAGCTTGTATGACGTTTGTGCTGATCTGCAAGCAGAGGTAGAGGACAGCAAGTGCTTACTCCAGAGGTTTTTTGACATGCTCCCAGCCCAGTATGCGTTTGACACATCACAGCTGTGCGTAAACCCGGCCCCTCTGATGTTGGATGTCTTACACAAGCTCAGCGTGTGTCAAGTTGAAGGAGGGGAGAACCAGTGGTTTTTTGTGACGCTCGGATATGTGTTGAGAGTACTGGACTTCATGGTCGGCCTCTCTTCGGGTCTGGATGAAGGGGAGGGAGAGGCCAGGCAAGGTTTGGGTCAAGCCATCCTCCTCTCCAGTCTCCTTGACAACGCATCCTGGAGTGCGATGCAGCCGGAGGCTTCCACCAGTGTACTTCACACTGTGGGAGTCTTCCTGCTTCGGGAGCAGAACATGAGCCTCAAAGAGGACCTGCTGAGTTGTTTCAGTGTAAGACAAAGCACACACATACACACGCGTTCACTGCTAGGAGGGTGAATTAACTTCTCTTTGCTTTTGCTCACCAGCCTGTCTTGTGGCACCTCATTGAGCAGGACAACAACTCATCAGCTCTCAGGGTTCTGTTACAGGTACGGTGAGGCTTCCGTATCTACAGTACATTTGATTAGACAGTGGTTCCCAAGCACCTTAGCATACGCTGAAATATCATCAGGAGTGCCACGGGAAGTTAAACATTTTCAATTAATTAGTCCAAAATTATTTATTTTCTCCAAATAATTTATCTGACTTCATTTATGATTGCCAGTGACATATGGCGGTGCGGGCACCTGCAGCGGCTCCTCTTGTTGTCTGTTGTCTGTTTAAGAGGGAGGAAATTTCATCTGACAGCACATTTGACAATAAAGTTGTACTTGATACTTGATATTGTCAGGCAGAACAATTAATTACTCTTGCACTAGATGGCAGAAGGTATTTTCCCTATTAAAAATAATTTTTTTGTCCTTGGGAGGAAGGTTGGAAAATGTCATTTCTATTAATTTAAAAAGACTATTTCGGACATGAGTGTTTTGGGTTACAAGTGTTGTCACGGAAAGAATGAATCTCAAGTCACTGCTGTACAGTAAAGCTCTGGAGTCATTGACAACCGTTTTGAGAAGGTTTGTAATTGTGTTTAGATGCCACAAGATGACAGCAAAGTGCACAGTTTTACATTTTTATTCATTGCTCTCCAGGAATACCTCCAGATGCCTGAAGATAGCATTCACACTCTTGTGATGGCCGCTGAGAAAGATGCCGTCAAGAGGTTCCTTTCTCATATGCATCAAAGCTGGGATCACCTTCAAGTTGAAACAAGCCGGGTTTGTTCGAACGACGCCATGAAATCTATCTCCTCTTTTTTGTCCTGATATGGGAGTTCTGAAAGTTCTAATTTTTTGGGGGTGGGTTTCATCCCTTTCATGGCGGGATTACAGTTCTGTCTGACATATACAGCAGATGTTGTCATGTGATATGTGCAATCAACTGTGAATGTATAACAGATGATCTGTTTGAACCAACATCTGTTTTTGTCCCATCAATCTTTTTTCCCGATCTCAGGCTTCCCAAAAAGAGCTGCAGGCCATGGAAACAATGACTGCTGCTTTTATCCATAAATTCCCCAGAGTGACTCCAGAACTCTTTGTGGACCTGTCCCAGTTCCTCCCGTTCATGTCTGTCTCTGACATTATGAGCTTCCCAGCCTCTGTCATTGTGAATGACAGCGTGTGAGTTGCTGACGAGTAAAGAATCAAATGCAGGCGACAGAGTCCTGACACTAGACTTTTGGCTTTGGTTGAAGGTTGGCTGCCATCCGCGACCACAGCTCAGAGATGAAGTCATCGCAGAAAAAAGCATTTGTCAAAAGACTTCTACAGTCAAGTGTGGTGGGTGATGTCCCCACCTGGCCACCGTACTTCCTCAGCTCCATCCTACCGCTACTGCCTTACCTTCCCGTCAGTCGTTTTCAGCAGCTGACGTCACGACAGGTTGTAGTGATTTTTTTTTTTTTTTTCAATCATTAGAAACAGAGAAGCTCAGTTAGTCTCGGCCGATAGGGAATGAGCCCTGCAAAAATCCATGAGTAATTAAAGCACAAATAAAAAGTTTTTTGATTGCCTATAGCCTCTCAGGCCCACGGCACACTGAGCACCGCGGGAAAACACAATGAAGTGGGCCATCGCAAAAAATTACAGGAGGTGACTGCAATGGATAAACAACCACCCTGTATTGGGTTTTGAGCCCCCGCACCTCAATTTTTGTAGTGTAGAATTTTTTTTGGCAAGCCACAAAAGCATGAGGCAATTGTCGGGGAAGAAGCCGATGACCACAAAGAAGAGGAAACGGCCGGCAATAACACATCAATGAATATTTAGGGAGGCTGTTGGCAATAATCAAGCTCTTCTGCACTCATACCTTTCCGTAACAGAGACTCTCCATGCTTTGCTTTCTTGCCACAGGTACATTCAATTCAAAATATACTTCAGTATTAATGTTTGAAACAAGATCACTGTCGATTCAAATTTTTAATCACTGAAAAATCAAGTGGCAACGGTCGACCACTGATGAAAAGTAGTGATTAAAAGCGGCCCATTGTGTGACAGTTCCAACTGTTTCAAGCTAGTGCAGACAAAGCTACAGCCAGACTAAAAGAAGTGCCTTCCCTCAGTTCAACATAGTTATTTGGCACCAAGATATCACCAGATGGCACCCACGCAATATTTTTAGTTGAGACATGGCTTTGGTCTGAACACAAAAACAGTAAAGATGTGAGTTTTTGCTACGAGTAATGGGGAGCATATTCCACAAATACGCAACTTTGCGATTGCTGAATCATGAGTATGCAGGCATTCACTTCAGTCATTTCATGCTAAATAATATTCTTATGGATGTTATCTCATTTAGCTTACCCCTCTGTTGGAGTTGCTGGGCAATAGCAGCCTGGATGGTGTGAGAGGACGCCATGTTATACGAACCATTTTCACCAAGAACAACAATGTCACTGGTGATAACATATCAAGGTGGGACAGTTCACTCTTTGAGCTGTTATGGTTTTTATTTCACGCATGTTGATAAATAAAAAAATGTAGATCATTGTACATTTTGGGAGACAATGGTTTGTAAAGAAGGTTGTATCCTCAAAGGTAAAACATTTTTGGCCACTCATGTTTTTTACAACGTACATCCCTGCATTTCTGAGTCACTGCAAATTTGGTCTATTCATATTCATAATGATAATTCTTGCTTACTGTTTTCAATTACTACGGAAAGCCTTTTAAATAAATATTTAATAATAAATATTTGATTTCCAGCTTAAACGTCCATGTACTAGTGCAGTCTTTGTCCTCAATAGTAAGGCAATTCAGCACATATTAAGCAGAATGATTGTGTCTTACAAGTAACGTTTTTTTTCCACTACCTGTGACACTTTTGACCTAGTAGTACCCGATTACTAGTAAATGGCTATGCTGCACTATGCCACTACTAGCCCTAACTATTAGGCATGTGTCATGTGCTAGTATTTTTGCCTCACTAGGAACAAGTTATTGTCAAACTAGTGTGCAAAAGCTGTCTTATTAGTGTGCAAAACTGTCATACGGTAGTGGAAGGCATTACTGAAAAAAAAAACAGACTAGTAAGACAGATGTCCTACTAGCTTTATGGAAAGCAATTTGAGCATTTATTCCATATCTTTGATATCATGCTAAGATCCATGTACGAGTAGCTATGCGATCTTTGTCTTCGCTAGTTGGACAAAGGTCATATTAGTACATGGACGGTAAGGTGGATATCGATGATATAGAAGAGGTACCTTTTTCTGAATGATATTCTCCAAAAAAAATATCTGTTTGCTTTGTGAGGATAGTAAAAGGCTACCATGTTGTTTTGCAGGCTCGGTGTCCTTTCGTGTTACTTGGATCCACATGACCTGCAGTCATTTCTTTCGGACTCAGCTCTGTGGTCCACTCTTCATAGGCAGCTGGTCAAGTGTGTGCTTACTGTTTTCAATTACTACGGAAAGCCTTTTAAATAAATATTTAATAATAAATATTTGATTTCCAGCTTAAACGTCCATGTACTAGTGCAGTCTTTGTCCTCAATAGTAAGGCAATTCAGCACATATTAAGCAGAATGATTGTGTCTTACAAGTAACGTTTTTTTTCCACTACCTGTGACACTTTTGACCTAGTAGTACCCGATTACTAGTAAATGGCTATGCTGCACTATGCCACTACTAGCCCTAACTATTAGGCATGTGTCATGTGCTAGTATTTTTGCCTCACTAGGAACAAGTTATTGTCAAACTAGTGTGCAAAAGCTGTCTTATTAGTGTGCAAAACTGTCATACGGTAGTGGAAGGCATTACTGAAAAAAAAAACAGACTAGTAAGACAGATGTCCTACTAGCTTTATGGAAAGCAATTTGAGCATTTATTCCATATCTTTGATATCATGCTAAGATCCATGTACGAGTAGCTATGCGATCTTTGTCTTCGCTAGTTGGACAAAGGTCATATTAGTACATGGACGGTAAGGTGGATATCGATGATATAGAAGAGGTACCTTTTTCTGAATGATATTCTCCAAAAAAAATATCTGTTTGCTTTGTGAGGATAGTAAAAGGCTACCATGTTGTTTTGCAGGCTCGGTGTCCTTTCGTGTTACTTGGATCCACATGACCTGCAGTCATTTCTTTCGGACTCAGCTCTGTGGTCCACTCTTCATAGGCAGCTGGTCAAGTGTGTGTCCAAGGGCTTCATTAGTGCTAGTGGCAGGGTGAGACACACTTGTTCACATCATAAAATCTTCCAAGAACTGTAATGACCTTCTTTCATATTTTTGTCTTTTGGTTCGTACAGCTTTCATACTGGTTGGTCCCAGCAATGCGAACCTTGAATGCCAGCAGCATGGCTCCCGCAGAGCTGACTGGCCTCAGTGCTCTCCTCCCACAGCTAGGAGCGTCCTTCTTACTCTCGCTTTCTTCACAGCAGCTGCTGGAACTCCTCTCCAAACCAGGAATAGACAGATATTCTCCAGCACAGGTCAGCAGGAGGGTTGTTCATTCCCCACATGGTTGAAACCCTGCTGTCACATTGTCACAATTCATAGCAGTGTAACTGTATAAAAAAATAACCCGGATGTATGAAAATAAAATTAATACTTCTAAATTACTGTCAGTAAAATATGTAAGCTTAGCATTGAATCCTATATTCTACATGGACTATTTTTGTACTGAGTCAGAGTTAATCAGACCTAGTCCTCCTTTCGCACAATTTCACGAGAGCGCCCCTGCCACCTACTGTAGGGGATGTGCAATTACACTTTATTTTAGTTCCCCCAACCCCTTCCAAAAAATGTATCCCATGTATCCTTTTTTGATACAGTCCTTGTATTGGAACTTGTTATATTATTTAGTTATAACAAATATTGCGGCTTCCCTCTGTAAAAGTAGCTTGATATGAAAGACTCTCAACCACCCTTGCAACATAGCGTAATAACTACTAAAATGAAGTGAGCAATTAACAACAAGAGTTGTTGTGCTAATGAATCAGAAGAAGTGCTGAGTTTAATAATGCGATGGATAAATGGACTTAGCCCTCTGTGGCTCTCATTGGTTTGTTTCTTTCCCATTTGATTCCTTTTCCCCTCCAGGCTTTTCAAATGTTGTCCAAGATTTCAAAAGACACCAATGTAAGTTAAAATTTGGAAGAATATGCTCACCGAATATGGGTCAACCTCACTCTAACCTCAATGTGTGTTTCTTCCTGGCAGCTCACTGCGGAAAAACTGTGCCGACTGAAGCCATTACACTCTGGTCTCTCTCCCACTGTGCTCAGAAGCCTCCACTGGTCTGAGATCAGTGAAACTGCCAACTGTCAATGTTGGAGAAGCATGCTGACAGAGCTGACGCCTGGCCACAAAGCAATGCTGTACGATGCAATGCAAGAGGTGATGGGGCTACTAACTATAACTTATTATTCATTTAACATGAAATGCAATTGTCCGTATTTCCTTGATCATTTTTTGTTACTCTTCTTTTGTAATCACATTTGAAGCAGGAAACACTTTGGGAGTGGGAGATACCAAAGTACATACATAACAATGGCCTTCAATCATGTTTTCTGTTATTAGGCATTGCAAAGAGACACACCCAACATCACTCAGCATGTAAACTGTCTCCTGTCATTAATCCCTCTGAGGAAGTTGACAGAGGCTCTGAAGAGGGAAGGCATCCCGAGGGACATAAGCGTGTACAAACACATCAGCTGGTCACCACAGCAGGTGCGTATCTCACTTCACCAACACTTTTTCCCCATTAGCGTGACAACAATAAGTTGTCAGGATCTCTCACAAAGAAAAAAAAAAAGAAAAGTGCCAACCATTAATCATCATTGCTTCCCTCCCATTAATCTGCAACGTCATTGGATATGCTTCAGATGAGCCTTTCAGAATATTAATGCACCGTACAGGCCAACCTCCATCAGGCTAATTAGTTTGGCTCTGACACAGTGATGTGGAGGATTGTCGTTTAAATTAATAATAGGTACATTAAAGGGCTTTTGTCACAGACAGGGGTTTATTTAGTTGCCTCCAATGTGTAAGAAGTCTGAACAGCTGCAAGATAGTCTTCAAATCAAAGGTGGTGGCAATTTGAACCTACTGGTCCTATGCGACTACACATATGGTTTAATATTTGTCTAACACAGCGATCTTGTATTATGTTGTGGATGTTGTGTCCAATGTTTATATCATATTAAAGAACATTGCAATATTAATTAATGGTGAGTGTTATTTTGGCCCTGGCAAAGCAGTGGCTGTTTGGACTATGTGCAGTATGTGCGGCCGCACAGCACCGTATATCTGACGGCCAGACCACCACTTAACCGGTTATGTCAGTTTATACCGGTACAAATAATTTAATGAACAAATACATTTTAATTGTCCGCGTTAATGAAACAACAGCTAAATGCAACAAATCTTACAAAGTCTTGATAATGTCAATGCTGTGAAGGACGGATCAAAGAACAGGACATACTTTGCCCACCACTGGTCCATTTACAATCCATTCTTGTAACTAGAGTTCTTTCTTGTTTTGTAACCAATTTTTTAATTTAATTTAATTTAATTTTATTTTGTCTGTACAGGCTCAGCTTTTGTTTAAGTGGATACACAACTCGAAAAACATCACCAGCAACATGGTGAGGTAAGTCAAATATGTTACAACAGGAAAGTTGGATAATATACTAGTCAGTGTGATGTCATGTAGAGACCAGAAGTCACCAACCTCTTTGAATCTGAGAGCTGCTTCATGCACACCAATTTGGCTGCAAAGGTCTACCAGTCTGATACGCACCTTGTAAATAACACATTTGCCCAAGTTACCTTTGTGTTATTATTAAAAATGAATGGTATTTGTCAACATGAGAACACCGATCATGCTTAGGATATCTCACAAAAATAACTAACCGTGATTCAACACGGTAGGAATGAGATAACTCTCAATATGCAACAATTTATTTCTTTAAGTCTGTGCCTGGTGAAGACATTAACTGGTTTTCAGGCATCTATAAATGCAGCCTCCCGAATTTGTTTTATATAATGACTTGTCTGTTTGTAGAGACATGGGCCAGGTTGCAGTTGGAATGACATGTGACTTTTTGAGGTTTTGGAGCAATTGCACTGATTTTGCAGAGCTGCTTCAGTATCTCACTATATTGCCAGGAAACTTGAGACCTGCTCTGGTGAGAAGTTAATGCCCCACAAAGTGCTGTCTCAAACTATTTTCCAGTTTGATTACTTTCAGATTTGCATGCAAGTGTCTCCATAAATATCTTTAGTTCTAACCTTTGTATTTTGTTTTTTATTTTTTTGTTTTTTTTGTTATATGACAAGCGAAATTGTATCGTAGAGGCAGTGAGAAATTATCCTCAACTTGATGTCAGCACTTTAAGCCCTTGGTTTTCTGCAACCTTACCGCAAGTATCCCCTTTTTTTTTGTAACGTAAATGGTTTCTTCATAAAAAAAAAACCATTGACAATTCTGACAAAAAGTCATACTTCTGCTCTGTTCTCTCTCAGAGCGACAATGATAGATGACCTTTCCAACACATCCCTCAGGGCTGTTCTGGACCACGTTCAGGCACACTTCACTGATTTCCTCCAACTACCGCATTACAAGCAGACAAATATCGCTGAGAAGGCTGTAAGTGAACGCATAGACCGGTTCTTATTAATAGTCATTTAAACATTATTATCTTTGTAAAGTCAAGAGTTTTTGATTCTTTTCTTGTATAATAACTAGTTACAGACTGCAGATCCATGGTTGAGGGCAAGGCCCCTTATATGCTGTGTGGATCTAATTAGAGCCAATAGAGGGACTGCATGATATGTTATGAAAGCGCGTGATAAATAGTCAGCGAACACATTTAAAACTTCAATATAATAGTAGCGCTAACAATACCACGCTTGCATTAGTACTGTAAACAAGCTGACGTTAATCATGGTGGCTACACTAGTAGACTGTACACGGCGCATGCCAGGTCATTCTGTATTTAATGAGCGTACCCGCTTACATTGTCTGTTGCCACACCAGCCAAGAGCAGTGAAAATGCTTTACACACAAATTGCACAAATTGCTGCATCCTTTTCTGCATTGAGGTGTCTCTCTGTAAAATGTGAATGCTCTACATTTAAAGTGAAGGAGAGGACTTGATTTGATTGACAGCAAAGGGAATCTGCTGTTTACCCCCACAGCGGTGCTAATCACCTCTTTTTTTTTTTTTTTAAACACACTGGCTCGTGTGCATCTGTGAAATTCCCAACATATGTTCTGTGCATATGGACGCCGATTTGTGCCCTTAATGTTATTGTTAAGTTGTTGTGTGGGGGTGAATGTACAAGCAATTAAAAATCAAAAAGTGGGCATAAACCTACCTCTCAAGCATAAATAAAAACAAATAAAATAAAGAGATTTTTTTTGGATCCGCATGAAAAATATGTTTAGGGACATGTGAAGCCATTTCTGATGGCCATTTGCTCTTGAGTAGTGTATTTATTGTATCAGCATATGCTGCTTTGCAGGGTTCCTCTTCCCATAATGTGGGTGAGATTGATGGCTCCACTCTGGACTTTCTGGGTCCTCTTCTGCCTTTCCTGGATAGAGACAGTTTGTCTCTGGTAGACAAAGGTGCTCTGGCTTTGCGGCTGGAGGACATGAGGAGCTTCTGTCTTCCCAAAGAAGCTCTGAGAGACATCAGCGCCCTGCTCACACAGAAAGACTTCATGGGGTAAATGAAGTGTTAACAGGTTTTGATAATCATGTCAAGAGATCATTTTAAAATAAATGCAAACCTTCCGAGAGAATAATGTGAACCGTTCCATACTGACTGAAATATATGTAAACATTCATATATGCATGATGTCATTTTGACCATTTTAATACTCACTTCCACCTGATAAAAAGCATCACTTGTGTCACTCTCCACTTCATCTCTGCTACCACTGACATTAGTGCTACTGACACTGGCAAGCGCATCTCGCTCTTGCTGTTGTTGGTTACGCATGCTTGGCGTCACCGTGGAAAACGTTCAAACTGTTTGTTTTTCATTGCCTTCTCCTCTTCTCCACTCCACTGGGATAACTACGCTTTATAAGTAATTGCACTTCAAAATCTGGATTTTGTTTTACATAGTAAAATACACTACATCATTACAAACTTCTTCTCATGTTTTTTTTCCTCTGTTTTTTTTTTGTTCTTTTCATTTTGATTTTGGTACCCTTCAAAAATATGACTGTTCATTTTCCAGGGAACCATCCAAGTGGCAAACTGGAGACATTGAACATTTGGGAAGGCTGGTGTTCTCCCTGTCAACAAAAGAGATTAACTCCATCCCAGTGGTGAGCACCTATCAAAAAAAGACCAAGTATACAGCAATTATACATTTCATTTTGCAACATGGCTGTCCAAAATGAGTGTTATTAAACATTATCCCCCTGTTTAGAAAGTCTTGAAGAAAGACACCGTGGAACAGGTTCTCTTGAGTCAAAAGCGCTGGGAGGAGAGCGCGGTGGGTGTCATCTGTTTGAAGTGGCGCATGGACCAACGTCGTCAGCGAGAGAAGACCCAAAGTCTCATAAGAGGGATAGTAAAAGTCCAAGGCAGTGGCGCAAAAAGTTCAGTATTTTATACGCTTAATGTCGTGTGGCTGTGATTATGTACAACTACTATCAGCATACAAGAACAAATTACCATAATTTTATGGTTGTAGTTTGCAATGGGCTCGTGAAAGCCACTAGATGATTTCAACTTCAAAATAAAAGTAAAACAAGAGATGTACATGGATATCAATGTCTCATTTAGCTTTTATTTAAAAGTTAGCCCTCGGAAGCAATTATGACGGGGGCTGACTTTGAAATTATGCTGGCCTGACCTCTTCTTAACGCGCAAAAGGGCAGTGACGGACTTGAACTGGAGGGCAATATTACATTTTCAGTCCTCATGTGCAACTGCGAAGCACTTTTGGGCACCCCTGGTTATACTCGATCTCCTTCAAAGTCACCTGGAATAGGTTCCAGCTCACGCATAAACCTAATTAGGACAAACTATAAAAATGGCCCAACACTAAATTTGGAAAACCTCATTAACCCTTTCATGCACCCTGTAAGCTGGTAACAGCATAAGCTGGCCACTGTAGTAACCGCTGTCCCTGTAAGGGTTAAAGACTGATTAAAAAAAAAATAATAATAATCAAGCGCAAGTCAAATGATTTTATTTCAGTGATTTTAATTCGTGTCAATGTGTGTCTTCTCCTTTCAGTCCCTAGCTGTGCAGACATCAGAGGTACGTTCCCTTCCGCATGGACATCGTCTCAATTGAGCCGCATGTCACAAGTCGACCTCAAAGAGTGTGTAGAAGTCTTCAGCTGGGATATGTCATTAAGCTCCGAGCAGCGCCGGGCGCTCTGGGTCAAACTTAGGCAGGTCAGTAGTGATGAGCAGAGGCGCAACAGGAGGATAAGTTCTGTTTTTGTTCATGCGATTTGAATTTGAATCTGTGGTGGAGTATTTTTGGCTGGGCTAATAAAATTCAACTGAACCATCTTTTTGCCCCCAAAAAAGCGACACAATGTTGACTTTAGCCAGTTTTATTTATATAGAACATTTCATATACAAGGCAACTCAGTGTGCTTCACACAAACAGACATCTTGAAGTATTTACAGTTAATGACATTCAGAATCAAAACAGAGAAAATAAAAGTAGTTTACCAAAATTACCAGAATGTACATTGACACCATTTAAACACATAAACAGAAAACTTTTAAAACATTTAAAAGGAAATAAATGAAAGCAGGTTTCTGAACACACACACACACACACACACACACACACACACACACACACACACACAAAAAAAAAGAACATCTGATTTAAATTTGTTTAGAGGACCTTAATCAAAGGTATGGGAAACAAAGCAAAGTTTTTAAACCTGGATTTAAAAGCAATTACACTCAGGGATGACTTTGCTTCTGTTGTCAACGTATTTCATTTGTGTGCATCATAACAGCTAAAAGCAGCTTCACCGTGTTGATTTTGAACTCTGGGCTCCATTCAATGACCCCCAAGTCTGCAAGTCCCAGAAACCTAGAACGTTTATATTCAATCATCAGGAAGGCCTTAGCCTGGATTCAAATCCCAAACCTACGCACTGTGATGCAAACATGCTAACCAGTGTATCACCGTGCCACCCGTATTTTTGCCATGTTGAGATTAAATCATACATACATGATTCTTACATTGCATATATATATATATATATATATATATATCTCACAGGATTTGTTGGTGGTCATTTTTCAACAAGGACTAATGTTAATTCACAATTCAAAGAGCACTTACAAACAAAATCTATACAACAGCAGGAATGAACCACGGTATAGTCGGGGTTTACTAGTGACACCTTTCTGACACTGTCTGTCAAAACTTGCTCTTGGATTGGATCTCATTGCATTTTGCAGGTGTATCTAAAGAGTGTTGAAGGCGGAAGTTCACTTAGCCTCCATCAATGACAGCCAAAAATGGTTCATCGCATGGCCCCAGGCTGTGTGAGGTGTAATTATCAGCTTCTGTCTCTGATTGAACTATTTTGCTGTTTTCTGTGCACTGCAGGCATTCAGTCCAGCGAGTGAGCTGAGAACAGAGGAGATTTTGGCTCTCGGTTCTCTGGTGACTGAGATGACGGTTAGAGAACTGCATGACATCTCTTTGAGTGACCTGGCTGTTTTGGCCCATTTGGGGACACTGTCATCCTGGCGCCCGAAGAAGGTGAATTGAATTTGAACTTGAAGTTGACCAACACTGACTTATAAACTAGCAAATGTGCCGAAAACATTTGTCTTTTCAGATGAGAGCGGTAATTTTGGGCGTGTTGCGCAAGCGCAACCTGAAAATCGAAGAGTTATCAGCTGTCGATTTGGCAACATTTGGCCATCTGATCTGTGGACTGGATCCCTCAGAGATTAAACGAATGAATGCTTACAACCTCAGGTGAGTGAATTAATGAGTCTCTGCTTTTCAAGTTATTGTCGATCAATTCTTACAAAGTAAAAAGGCAATCAGTACAGTCCAGACCTGCGCCAAGGTGGTCTGCTTAGCAATGCAAATTACAAAGTATTTTTATTCACAGACGTGATGTGTGTCAAAGTGAAAAGTATTCATTAACTCATTTCCTGCCAGTCATTTTTGAAGCAGCCATTTTACAGCATTTGGAGTGATCTTTCAAAACCCACGGAATTTTTTGTTTTCTGAAAAAGTAGATCATCTTCTTTCACCATCAGTCTTTTTACGTACTTGAAAAGTCAGCAGAAAAACGTGGGTTGATTAAACCACAAACATTGGTTTATGACCAAAAAAGAGAAAACAAGCTTTTTGTAACATGTCAAGCACAACCGTGACATTGATGAACATCATTTTTTTCTCTTTTTTTTTTAACTTCGAACTATAAAATATAAAAAACAAGGGCTTTTGTCGGCAAAATAGTAATTCATTTAGAGATACCCAACTATGAAACATCAGTGGCTTTTTTGCATGTTCATTAACTCCATGGCATCTTTTCTCACAAAAGCGAGTTTATACCTTACATAATACACTGTTTTTGAATGTGAAAAGGATGCTTTTGTCGTACTTCCAACGCGCTGGCATTTCTCTCGCTCTTAATCGTCGTGACAAGTTTATGTTCCCTCCTCATCTTTATCTTCGACTCAAAAGTTGTGCTAAATCCAACACGATGCAACGCCACCATCAACATGTATGTGTTAGTTATTACAGTAGTTTAAAAACCTGAATTTCACAAACTGTGCATCTCCCTAGTCCACGCCTTCCTCTTTGAAATTCTACTTGACGTATCATTCGTGTCAGTAAATAGTTGGATTCCAGTCGGCAGCAATAACAGAGGGAAAATTCAGTGGAGTCCTAGTATAGACAGAATACTTCTTGGAGGATGTAAGAAATAACTTTCTATGTTGTTTGCAGTTGAAGTTACAAATGTGCGACACACCAACTAACAGATGTAACTAGAAAGTGGGTGCACACATATTGAAGTGTTCTGTAAACATTTTGCATATGCTCTGAGGAGTAAATCCGGAATCTTTTTTCCTGAAATGGCAGCATGGCCGTCCGGTTCCTGCGGGAAATGTCCTTGCCATGCAAAGAAGAGCAGATGGAAGCTTTGACAAGTCGTTTGTCCAGACCTGAGGCCTTTGGTCCAGTCAGTGCTTGGGGATCTGAAGTTTTCACAGAAATTGGGACACTGGCAGGTACGGATGGATGTAATATCCCCAATGATCTGTTGTTGCCAACATTTTATTGTCTCTCATCCAGAGTGAGGAAGGACAATTCTTGATGGATTGGAACAATTTAAAAAAAAAAAATCTCCTTGGGGTTTGCGAGGAGAGCTGAAAAAGTTTGGAAAATCTCTATTTTGAGCTACATTAATGATCTCACTACATTGTTTGTGGAACTTCTGTATGCTCAGTGGGCCTGGAAGACATTGTTTTGTCAGCTCTGACACGAGAACAAGTGGAAGGCATCACCATTGAAGCATTCGTCCTGCTGTCACCCAAAAAGATGGCAGTAAGTTTTGTCTTTGATTTCATGTGAGCGGTTTATGTCAAGCAGATTGCAACTGCATCTTAAGACTCAAGTCTTTTTTTTTGAACACTAAAATATTCCCTTTTAGCTCCATATTGGAGCAACTCACATTGATGGCACAACATCAGCCGGGGGTTCATACTCATAACGTTGAATAAAAAAAAAAAAAAAAAACAAGAAGATATTTTAGGAATTGGTAGCTTTCTTTGTGGAGGTGTTTTTTTTTTTTTTTTGGTGTCTTTTTCTCACTTGCTCCCCCTCACTGTCCAAAAAATAAAACCTGTTAGGTTGAACACAAGGCATTATATACACTAGTCAATCTCCAGTTTGGTTGAATTTTGAAAAATTGAAATCTTTTGTCATCGGGCAGGCGAGTGAGCGACATAGCAGGCAATATTTTAAACAATACCTGTATAAAATGAAGTGACATGATGATGAGTTGTTTGCATCACAGTTCTGAGGTTGGGGGTTGAATTTGAGCACAGGTGTTTGCGTGTCCTCTGGCTCCTCTGGTTAAAACGTGCATGTTCGGTTCAGTGAAGACTCTAAATTGTTTGTCAGTGAGCGTGTGAATGGATGTTTGTCGACACGGTGAGCATAAAAATTCTACCAACCCTTGTTCAAATGCCACGTTTCTATGATACAATAAAAGAGACTAACATTAATCATTTCGCGACCTCTGCACTGTGAGACGGACATGCTAAAAAGTCGACCACCGTGCTACCCGCTGTTCACACTATTTGTTTATTTTTACCTATCCTCTCAAAATACATTCTTTTTCATTTGAGTTGTGTAGGTCATAGGTTACATTGATGGTGGAAATAGTTTTAATATGACATATCCTCCTTTTATTTCACAAAAACCTGGTGCTTGAACAGGGGTGTGGACCTTTTACTTCCGTTGTTGTGCCCTGCGATTGGCTCGACAAGTTCAAGATGTACTCCGCCTCTCACCCAAACTCAGCTGGGAGAGGCTCCAGCTCACACAGGGCCATGATGAGGATAAGGGCTGTTGAAAATGAATGCATGGATGGATTCTGGAGTTGTATTCATGTTATACTTCCCAAAGAATCCTACATTAGTAGGTTTTCCATTGACTTTGCCAGGTGGTGTTCAGTGCCATTCAGTTGTCCTGGTTGAGTGCTGAGCAGGCGTGGGCCATCACTGAGGACCAATGGACGGAGCTGGACAACGATCAGAGACTAGCGGTCAGACTTGCTCGTTATGAAGGAGATGTACAGTTTGAGCTGAGAGGTTGGTACTGACTCAACAATGGTGACTGAAGTTAATTTAATGTTGTACTCAGGGCGCTTCTATAATCCAATGATTTATGTCAGTGATTCTCAAGGTGTGGTGTGCGCACCACCGGCAGCGCGCGAGGCTTCTTCTGGTGGCACGTGAAATAATGATTCAATATTTTCACACTCGGATCACTGCAGGTTCAAGGGCAAGGCAAAGCAACTTGATTTATATCATGCATTTCATGCACAAGGTAACTCAATGTGCTTCACATAATTCAAAATGCAACATTTCAAACCCTGGAGAACCCACGGGGTCCAATTTGGCCCCTATAAATTCTGCTATTTCAAATACTACCCTTAAATCCCAAAAGGGTCAAATTTGGCCTTAATCCTAAATTTGGATTAAAGCATTACTTATTTGAAAAAACATATATTTTGGTGTTCAATAAACATATAGCAGTCATTTAATGTATAATTCATCATTTTCCAAAGAAGAAAAGGGTTCTTGGGTTTTCCATGGTTAAAAGAATTTACAAATAAAATAATTTAAGACATTTAAAAGTAAAGAAAAAGCACATGAATAGAAGAATAGTATAGAAATAAAAAGTAGTTGTGTTGCACATTAGCTCTGTAATTTCCAATTTACTTTCCAAAGTCAACCAATTCAGATTTGTGATTAGCTGAGGGAAGTGGAGAGGCAGGAAGAGAGCTAGGAAGCATAGAGAGAGTTCATTGAGACACGCAGGCAGACGATTGCGGGTAATACAGTATGAACAATATAGCGCTGCATGATATTCGAAAAGCAATATGTGATATGGGTGCGGAATGTTGCAGTACCGATAATGCGATCATGTACTGTAGGAATGCCATCTTCATTATCTAATGAAAGAAATGCATTTTTTCATCTGGCAAAATATGAATACTTTGGGACTTTCAGTGGGTATTTAGTGACCTAATTCACCACTTAATCATGCCATCACGTCACAAAAAAACCAAACCAAAAAAAAAAAACCACTATACAACTATGGTTACAATTACACTGCACATAGCGTGTTACCAAACTGCTACTTAATACAACATGGCTGATTTATGGACGAATCGGTCTCGTCTCAACTTCCAAGCACTCTCATCCACCCTCATTGCGTACATGTCTGATTTATAGCCACTCATTGAAGTTTTGGATGCAAACAGGATTTTATAGCACCTATTTATAGGTTAAAAATAAGTAGAAATATAAATTAATGTAAAATGATTTGTCATTAATTTCTGTGGTTTTATATCCTTAGAAAAATTTTGAGTGTCGCGGTTTGAGAGAATTATTATTGTTCAAACTGCATGTTAGTGTCTTGCATTACTTACAATAAGATTAAATATATATTTTTTACAAATAAAACCTCTGCACATGAACATTTGGGCATTCTATGCTACTGTATTTTAATGTTGGTCACCATGATGGTACTTGGAGTGCTGAATAATTTTTGGGCGGTACTTGGTGTAGAAAGTTTGAGAACCAACCATTTATATCATTTTTTTGAATAGGAACGTTTGTTTCTAAGCAACGCCGGTGATTCTTATATTGTGAAGACAGCACACGTGAATGTTCTTCTGCCCCCACAGGGAGAAACTCGGCTGCAGCAGGCCTGAACACATACTGCTTTGCTTTCAGCTTTGTGGCTCCAAGTCTCTGGTTCTGGCATCTCATCTAAAATGCTTCCGAATGGTTAATTAGAATTTGACCTCCCTTTTCATCCACACATTTGTGCATAAAATAAACATCATGATCTGTTTTATTGCTTCTCTGATTTGATTCCTTCCGTTAACAATGTGCGAGATTCAGTCTAATTGAATTTTCAAAAAGTGTAAATTATTAAATGGTTGATACTCATTTTGAGATCAATTACTATTCAGAAAAAAATACAGCTTTGGCCCATGTTGCAAATGTGGTTACAGAAATATGACTTGATATGCTTTGAAGATTAAAATTAAAATGCAAGGTTTGACTCGAACTTTACTAATTGCTCCCCGCCTTAATGCAATTTCTAAGAAGACTACTAGATAGCTGTAGTTACTGCATTGGATATAAAAAGTCTATTAAAAAGTGTTTTTTTTTTTTTTTATGTGAAAATGAAAATAAACCCAGATACATCATTTCAAATTATTTTGACCATAAATAATTCCACAAATTAGGAAAGGTCCTCCCGCCAAAAAAACCTTCGAAAAGCTTCTGCAGAAAGCAAAATAGTCTACTGGAATAACTGCATATTTTTGTGGTTAAACACAGGCACAATGAATGATGGGAGGTGTGGGCCGACTCCCATTCAACATGACTTTTCTGCAATGTCTCTCTCAACTCAACTCAACTCAACTGTATTTATAGAGCACTTTCAAACAGCCATCGCTGCATACAAAGTGCTGTACATGGAGCAATTCAACATATACAACAAACAGTAAAGCAAATCGGAAATAAAGACGGTAGAAAGCACCAAACAGCAAAACCAAGAACAAATCCAAGTCATGCTGAGTCAAATGCCAAATCTCTGAAGTAGAAGGATAAATGCTGACTTGAAGGTTCCATTTATCTTTTTCCTAGAATATCGCCTGACGCAACTACTATTGTGTTGAGTTTGTGTTTGTGAGTCATGACTTATTTCCTCCCTTAGCATACATGTGATTGAGCATGTGATCGCTTTGCTGTAGAACTCGGTTGCTTTAGTCCTGCACTGTAACTTTTTAAGGAACATTTAAAAGCACATTTAACCTTTAAGGCCCTTACTTGGTTTGCGTGGCACCCGCCGTGGGGTAGGGCACAGGGTGGCACAGCGCAAGCTTGCTCGTATGAACTGGTTGCTGAGCAACATTTGCCTTTTCCAACTGGTTTTAATGTTGCAGTTCAGCAGAATGTGTTTATTTAACAGTGACAACAAAAATGCCTGGCTTCGCTCATGATAACGAAGGAGAAGACGTGATACGAGTGAAGCTTGCGTGGTACGAGTACCACTATGCAGGTACAGTTGCCTTTAGCGGAACACAAAAGAATCACCGCTGAAGTGCAGTCGAGTTGTACAGTATGTGGTTATTTTTTGGATTGTTCAAACCCTTTGTTTTTGAAGGCTGGATTATTTATACAGGCAGTGAGCAGGAAATATACTGATACTGTGATATACATTGGCTCAATAAAAAACAGACATATGGACGCCTTTTGTGCCATATTTAAAATGGCATTTTTAAAGTGAGAGGTATTATGTGTCCCCTCCCATCCCCGCCGCAGTAGCGCTGAAGAAAATATGTGACCTCCTCCATCATTGAAGTTGCCATTCCCTGATGTAGACTGTGCCACAAGAGGGGATAAAATTGGAGCGTGTTGGAGCTCCTCTATATTGGAATTAGAAAATATTTTTAAAATTATTTTAGGTATTGCGGTTCATGCATTGTTAGATCTTATATAGGCTACCACACATTGTTCCAGCTGCAGTTGTTAACGCTCTCAATAAAGTTGAGTTGAGATAACGGATGCATTTGTCTGTCTTTGTTTTATAGTAGTGATCTTTCCAGGACAGTTTATGGTCGAGTATGACTCCAAGAAAATTATGTCTATGTGCTCTGTTTCTTCATGATATAGTTGGACTCATTTGTGTACATTTCATTTCTGGTACATTAAAAAAAAGTGCCCCTTTAAGATTTAGTGGTCATTTGTACCCTGAACAGGAAAAGCAGTATAGATGTACTTTATAGGGGTTGTAAAATACATTTAATGTTGATCCTGATGGTGGGGTTAAGAATATTTTTAGTTGGTGCCGTTTGAGAGAACCACTGGTCCATCTACCACTGCTCGTGGGAGCAGTTGTCCAAAAAGCAATAAAATCTTGACGTGCCATAACATCTCTGTGAAGCAGTACGCCCCATGACATCAATTCATCATTTTCCTCTCCACATTTTATTAAACCTTATGTCTATATTTAAAAGCACTGTGACCTAAGACTAAACGGGGTGTGTGCGGAGCCTGCGAACCACAAAGGATTGCGCTTGCTACGCCATTCGGGATCAAGAGGTGGTGCTGCCGCCGCGTTATACGAGTGAGTGTCTCTGAACGTCCTCACTCCGTCCACTGCTCGTGACGTATTTCCTGGGGCTTGTGCGGACCTCTCCGGCGGCACACCACGGAGGGATATCATGACTATTTATAACCAGCAAGTCTCACTTATCAAATGTTCCGAGGTTTTTCTGCGCCGTCCTCGTTTCTAGCACCGCTGGGTGCGAGACAACACGCCGGGTCGTGCAGCATGTAAACGGAAGCTGGTAAGTTGAGCCCTTCGTAAGTTTGCCGTTAGCTCTGACACACACATTCGGACTTGTTTTGGTAAATGCTCGGCTTTTGGCTTCCCCGGTACCAAGGGGACGGCGAACCCGAGTGGAACATTGTGGTCTTGTCGAACCAGGTGGCTGTCAGTGGCTCTGGACTACGAGCTCACACACGTCGAGGTGACGTCGACCGTTGTCCGGTTTGATTGGGTGATGATCCGCGGCTTTAATGTATTTGTTTAAATACAAACGTGATACGTTTCATCAAGGAAATGTAAAAAGGGAAAAAAAAGGTGGTGGGGTGGCGGGTGTCTGTAAAGTCAAGATCGTCAACCGACCGTGGAAGTCAAGTTTACCTTCCACTTTCTGGTAAATTTCGTCAAGCACTCGTAGATCGCTGCCCGATAGATGACTACGTGGTGGTGTCACGGGCTTGACGAGTGAGGTGAGACCAACTCGCTCTTCTCGGTGGCTCGAGAGTAAACGTTTCACTTGAGGTATTTATGAGTGTACAAGCCAGATAAGTTTGCTCGCAATCCGTCTCAAGCACGAAGTGTTTTAGTGATTACAGCGAAAGCAGTCACATTTGTTATTGTGTTTTTGTTCCATAACAATTCACTGCGTGGATCCTATAAACAGATAAACATTCGATTTCGCTGATTTACATCTGTCTATTTCTCATTTTTAATAGTCATAACATCTGTTCCTGCTTACGCAAACCATAGTTTTTTGTTATTTACTGATTGTAGCCAATGTGAACTAAAGGTGGGACAATTAACCCGAGATTTTTGGGACACGTTCCGTTACATTTCATGTACGGGTTTCCTAAATAAGAGAACAACTTACTGTTTCAAAATGTCTTAATTTTGCTTGACATCAATCTTTAGATTACTGCGTATATAATTTATTTGAAGCAAACAGTTATTTAAACACAACTTTTGAATGGTAAACTGCCTCTTGTTCCTTCACTATTTGTATACGTGTGTAGTGACAAAACCATAGTAAAAAATGTGTACAATAAATTCAAATTTTAAAAATGTAAAACAAAACGTGACTGATGTAACGGTTACATTACGCGTGGGTTCATTGGTCATGCCTGCACCCCACTCTGAAGTCTTGACAAGTTGACTGGTGCTTAATCTAGATATGCAATTGTAAAGCAGTCATTGTGGCTCTGATTTAAAACCTCACTCAGGGCACAACGCAATGTACGTCAAATCATTTTCATTAAGTGCCCAAACAACACATCTTAAACCACAGAGAAGGGCTGTAAATCTTCACCAATAAATGCTCCCATGGCACAGTTTTTTTTTTTTTAATATGGCATGGTTGTTGCATTTAAAAGCATTCATAAAAAACACTTGTTGTTTTCGCTGGCATTGCCCTTTTGAGAAGTTCGATTTTCCTGTGTCCACATTTAAGAGTCTCTCTCGACTTTCATGTGTTCAGTGAGCATTGTATAAGGATTCAAACGCAGGAGATGCTCGGCTCATATTGCTTACGTTTCCTTAAAAAGAATGGGACATGCTTCAAGTGTAGCTTTCCTGTCAACAGTTTTCACTCCCTCGCTGTTGTATTCGGCAATGAAACCGAAGTCAATCCGGAGATTTGGATGAAGTTGGTGCTTTATGTTTTTTTGTCTCTGATTTCCTCTGCTCGTACGAGTGGTCATGTTTTGCATTTTACTGCATTGTGAACTGCACTTTGAGGAGTACTCGTCATTTCTTGCACTTGTGGTAGCCCCTCACTTGGGCACAAATGCTCTCAAATGGAATCCCCCCTTCCCCCCTAAAGCTCGGAGTAAAGCGAAAACAATTTATAACAGGCAAAATGACTTTACAATGTAAATATTCTATTTTGATGTCAAACTCTCATGCACACTCAAACGCGCGCCCTGGGGAACATTGACCCTGGGGTCACAGATTCTGATAGGTCGCAGACACTGTTACAACTCGACTAACCATCCATTTATCCAATTTCACCATAAAAAACAGCCCACAGTGGGTGACCGTGATGACAGTGTGACCCACAATAAAACCAAGTTTGACATCCCTGCTCTATCTCAACCCATTTGGTCAAGGCAAACAATTGCTCTGCACAGAGTCTCGAGTTTGTAGGGGGTTTCTTCCTTAGAGGGGGAGTTTTGCCTTTGTCACCTTTTGCTTCCTCTTGCAAGATTTGGTTGTTCTCTTGCTGTATGAGGAGCATGACCCTCGACCTGCTCCATATCGTTAGCCTAATGTAAATTCCTAAGTCTTGTTTGAATATACGTATTCAGAAAACAACTAAAAACAGCACATTCAGCAAGCAAGAAGATTGCAGTTTCCTTCATTCAGCCTAAGTGGATGGTTGTGATCCGAATGACTTAGAATAGTACACTATCAGGCTAATGATATGTAAAGTGCCTCGAGATAACTTCGGCGATGAATTGACACTATACAAATAAAATGATGACGGATAGATGTCGACTTATGCGATCGTTCCTTTTTTCGCTCCAAGAATACGGCCTATGATTTAGATGGTTAGCCTAATAGCCTATTTGCCCAAATCAATTTTAACTGTTGCAATATCAATAAAATATGCCAGTGTGCTTTCTAAAATTGTTTTTTTCCCCTTTTGTCTGTGTAAATTCTCATTCATCCTGGTTGTGGGAATCCAAAAAAGTAAATCAAGGCAACTGGACTTTGTTCTGTTTGTTTATGTACTGTGGAGAAAATGGATGGATGGTTCTTCGGATTTGGACAGAATGGCTGACTGTGAGATTTCATTAAACAGAACCAGGAATGATCATTTAAATTCGCAATAATAAACTCATTAATCTGAAAGAGAACATTCTTCTGTATAAATGGAATTTGGATGGTTTGGAAGCGTGTGGAGCCAGAGTTGCCTGTTTATGTTACGCCTATGGAGCTCCTAAATTTGCCATTTTATAAAATCTGGCTAAAATGGGGTTGTTCAACAGGAACCATGTCTATGAAGGAAAATCGATGGTAAGGGAGTCATTCCAAATCAGATTTTGCACTCAGATTTTGCTTAGTTGCTTGTACTGTGCTGCTGTTATTGTATTTGATCGCTTGAGTTGGAGTGGATTGGTAATTGAACAATTTGATTATTGTAGGGCCGCAATGTTTAATTAAAAACAATCACAAAAAAAGCTCAAAGCGAAATCTGGATCTTTAACGAACTAATCTTGTTTCAGTCAAACAAGTTATCGCAAAGGCAGCCAACCAAGAGTAATGCCCCCACAAGTGGTCAAGGATAGGGACATTTGTTGGTAAATTGCGTTATTGAACAAACAGGAAAGAAACAAACACATGATAAACACATTCGAGTTGCCGATGGCCAAAGCTCACGCTGAGTCATTCAGCAGCCTGCCAACTCTACCTGCTCATGTACTGATACCCAGGTCACTCACTAATTCCTCGAGTAATCAATGGGATAACTGGTAGGATTTGAAAAAATATATTTGATACCTGCAGCCCTAATGTGGTTATGGTTAATACTGTGATTGCCCATATTATATGTGCTGTAACCGCAATTCATGCGGGATGGGGACTCAGCATTGCATTGCACTGCATTTTGTAACCCCCCCCCCCCGCCCCCCAAAAAAAAGATGATAAACATTCATTTTGCTTTTTCCATGAAAAATGATGGTGGGATAGGGCTGATACAACCCCAGAGAATAAAAAAATATTGAAAAGAAATTGGAGGAAAAAAATAAATCTGTGAATATGCAAATCCGCTGGTGCTGAACTGCAAGTATGCCTCAGTCCGCTATGTAAGTGTACACATAGCCAGAGAATAGCCAAATTACATAATAAAATAGAAACGTCATCTGGTGTGTAAATTAGGACTGAACGATTTAGTAAAA